TGTCAGAATTGAATAACTCGTATACTATCCAAAATTTATAACTCGCAAATATACATTAACCTTTGGGGTTAGTTTTTCTAGCATTGCAATCGATGGTTAAACTCAAACTTAGTTCCAGCTTCACATTTTGCAACCATGAACGTGTTTATAAAATGACCCAATTTACTAAAGATTCATGAGGGGTTCTCCGTATCTTAACACAAAGACTTGCCCAATTATCACAAGAAGCACAACACTTTAGGCAGCATTACAGCTCATTTAGAGGCACAAGCACGCTCACACTTGAACTCTTCACCCATGAGAGGTCAAGCGGATGCAGCGAAGGCTACAAGCTAACTCGTTAGCATATGTGCACTGCGACGCAATGAAGGAGAGGCGGCGTGAAGGCAACCATTCTTTACCCTCGTGTGATGGTCGTGTAATGAGGGATAGTGAGGGAGACCAAGAGAGTGAGAGCGATGAACCTTCATATGGTTATCGCTTGCATTAACGATATTGATTTATTGAAGGCCATGAAGGCAGCGTTGTTCCTCAAGAGAAGGGCTTTCAAAAAGTCGAAAGCCGTTCCTGATGAGGGAGTGAAACGGGCACTGAAGCGTGGACAATTAATCCAGACGAAAACGATTATTACAAAACGGTGCCAGGAAACTTCATTTAACTGAAGCAAGCTCAGGACATTAAATTAATGTAGCATTTACGAAACTTAATTGAAAATTACCGCACCATTGCCCGCTCGATTTAGGAATTCATTGATCACCAAAATTATGCGAGTACTTTAATTCGATTTTCAGCGACACGAATACAGTAATGTCGTATTCTATCAAGTTATTTAAACAACATGTATTACATGATAACCAATGCAGATATTTAAAATCGATTTGCGGATTAACACCTGCATCACAAGCATGCATGTTTTCACGAAATCATATGCAACGGCGCTAATCATTCGTCTCGGAAATATCCTATATCCATCGGCTTTTCTACAAAATATGAACAAAATAAACTCCTTTCAATTTTTTTATTTCAAAGAATAACAGTAGAATGTCAGTGCCACTTCAATTCCATGGCACGTAATAAATAACACTAACAACATTGAGCGATGACCATATAATTAGGGCTCAATCTCACCATCGCATCCAGCTCGCACGTAAAGATTGCAATATCGGACATAGTGCCACCAATTTTTATCTTCGCTCAGTGACGATGACATGAGTTGGTGAAGTAAGGCGCATACAAGGCATTCCTGTCTGATTGTACCAGAGCTAAAAAAGCATTCAATGACCAGCGCAGTAGCGACGTATACTAAGAGCGTAAGTTCGATGTCAGAGAGGCGGTTTCGTCCGTTTTCAAAAATTAGTTTTCCAGAAATTTTGACTTATCGATGCAACTACGACGCTGCTATAAAAGCATTGATAATCTACAAGCATATTCACCACATTTCTGTGCGGCCAACATTATCGCATCCGCTGCACTGGAAGTGACTTAATTAATAAGGAGACAAAATAGCATAAAACAGGACTTATACAACCGCATATAGAAGTAAAATGGAAATGCATAGTAGAATTTGCCTGATCTTCCAATGACTCATGTCGATACTATTGTATAAAGTGCCCGATTTTCTGACAGACAAATTCCAAAACTCTGTTCTACGAGTTTGCAAATTACACTGTTTATGCATGAAATTAGTCGCAGAAAATCATTTACGTCATATCATTTAAAAAAAATATAAACACAAAAACAAATACATTTTCTTTCAATGACAGAAACTAATGATAATGTGCCACATTTTCAACTGCTTCACAAAGTACAATCCGAGAAATTTAAATGAAATAAAAAAGGAAACAAATTAAAGCGTGCGACTGTGAATGAAAATAATATTAAAATTAAACTCGTCCTGTTCTAATCTTTCGGAAACTAAGGCGACATTTAAAAATTACATAGAAACGACGCACGATGAGTGTCTAAATTTAACGCAGTGAAATGCGTAAGCCATCTAAGAAGCACGAACCTTATTTATAGTTGGTCAACAGTCGCTTCAAGAGCCTTGAGAAGTGTTTACATTAGTCGACAAAAATGATACAGGAAAACACTCGCAGCGGCCTAAATAAACGAAATGAAGGATGGCTTCATAAGAACCTTCCACTATAAAATGTAGAAATTAAATATTTCTTTCAAATCTTTAACACTTCAGGATATACATCAAACTTGTGCAAACCTCACATCGTGTCATGATAGAAAAGTTACCACTATACCTGATGACTATGAAACTTGTAGAGCAAACAAGCCAGCAGATAGGCTCTCTCCATAGGTGATATAATTACGATTTTTCTCCAGCTCCATAAATCTTGGGTGAATTATAAAATTTCTGTTATACTTTTAATTCATATATTAAAGTGGTGAAAAATTATTGTAACTTTTAAATTAATTTAATAAGAATTTAAAAGAAAATAAAACCCCGATAAAATCCACATCTCCATTTAAAAGGTTTGAAGATCGGCTCTATTGTCATTTGGAGTAAAATTAGCGAAAATAAATTCTATCAGAAGTGAATAAAAAGCAAATAATATAAGCAAATTTTCAAAGGGTTTCATCAGTATTCAAGGTAGTAACATATTTCGATAGTTTAAATCTCTAATAAAAAATAAAACTACAGATCAAGCTGTAAGAGCTCTTGTGTCCGAAGCCATCTCAATTTAAATATCACTAATGTCTTTAAAGTTCTTGGTTAGGTGTAGGCTTTTTACAAATCGATAAATTAAAGAACCTCAAGTGCATCAATAATAATTAAAATTCAAGTGTACTGTGAGAAGTTAAAAAGTCGTGAACTGTTAACTCTGCGGAAAGATGCATAATCTTTGACAGCACAGGGCGTTGTAAATATAAGGGCCCGACAGGAGATGATTAAAGACACGCAGTGTTGGAGCAGAGCAAACATTGACGACGTTACAGTTGACGGACTTGCTGAGGACTTGACGGTCATCGTCCAAATTTGTAACAAATACAAATAAAAAACCAGCCGTTTTTTCTCTTCCCGCAGCGCGGAATTGAGAAGATAATGGCGAAAGAATAATACATGGCAACGTTGAATATATTAAATCTCTAGTGCAGTTAGCTGAATACCATCAATCCCATTCAGAAATATTCAAATGAAAATGTCTATTTTAACCGTAGTAGGAAAATGAACACGAGTATTTTCCAACCTCAATTTTCGAGTCACTAGTAATTATACTTGAAATTTCTTTATCGATTTGAATTTGTTCGTTGACATTTTAGCTTAAAATTTAGGCACGGGAAAACGCGGAAGGCGTATACTTTGAAAGATTTTTGTGCGGTGTGAAGCCTTATCGGAGTTACGCTGTGTGCTGTTACGACTTAATTTATAAAAAGTAGGTAAAGCTATGTAAATAGGAGGAAATTATTTATATGTGATATTATTCCATTTGTATATTTATTTATAGTTTACAACGAGTTGAACTTTAAATTACTGCTAATCTTATTCTCTTAAAGCCTCAATCAAGCCTAAGTCTCCTGCATCGATTGTAGAGCATTAAATATAGAGTTGGGTGTTTGGGAACTGGTGAATATCACTTCTAGCCAGCGCGTGAATTGTTTATGCTGTCTGGAGAATGTGTGCAATAAAATTATTATATAACTGATGACTCTCAGAGACCAGGATCCTGTGCTCTCATGTAGGATATGTTACAGTGTCCCTGAGAGCCCAACAAAATCTCTGACCACTCATTCATATGCGATAAGGCAATATAAGCGTTGACTAAAAAATTTTTTATGACTGTTAGAAGTTCAACAAAACCTATTAGTTCACTCACGAATGAATCGATACTAATATACTAGATCATGATGTTTCATATTTTAAAGAAAAAACGTGCATAAGTATCAATACAAACGTAAGAAAAAGCAGGAAATCATATCAGGAGACGAAACTAACACACGAAAAACGTCAAATAATATAGCCAACAAACAACTGATTATTACCTCCACAGGACGGGTCCCACAAGTGGTAGAGAATACAACCGTTTACGCTTCTTGTTCAACGGAGCCAACGATGCCGTTGACTTCCTACGACGAATATTACTCAACATTTCCGATGCACGGGTGGGTAGCATGACTTGTTAACACTCGACTTAATTCGATGTCTTTGATATCAAACAAAAGCTGATGAGACCCAGAATGACACACAAGAGCTTGTCCGTAGCAATTAAAAAATTGAATTTCTTTAGTAAATCTTCGTCACAAATTGATCACATCATGCTGAGAGCAATTGATAATAGACGTTATTTGTTCAATTCAAATAATTTAAGGGGGAGCATGATCAACACGAAGGCCATGCGTAGCCTACCAACCTACCAATCACCTTATTGTAATATTTTTCCAATCGGAGACCAAAAATTTAACCGACTCAATCGAAGACATTATGGCCTTTTTGAGTGTTAAAGAAACGTGACGTTTGATCTACATTAAGTAAGAGAAAATATAAAATAGGGAATAATGTAAATTTTCAACTCACACGTTCACTTTAAACAGATATAATAGATGCCAATACGTCTTCAATCATTGCGGCTTTCACACTGCAGTGCACCGCCAGCGTTCAGCTGAATACGGACGATAAGAGACAGCTTTTGTTTATTATCTTATCACTGTTATCATGCAAGGTGATGATAATACAAGGATAATGAAAAATATTAAATAATACCTCGAAGAGAGATGGAATAGAGGAATAGCGAATATACATGATACAATTCTGAATCACTTCTATATATAGAATCACTAAAAGAGTTCGACGAAAAAATAGAAAAAATATGCAAGATTTGAGATTTGTTTGTTGTTTTTTCGGTGAAAATAAATTTAAAACCGTCTTTGGTTCGCCCAGTAGTAAAAGTTCATGAATTCAGCACAACTTATGCTTCGAATTTCATCATATTGAATTCATGTCTCAACTTTCGTTCAACTAAATGGACAAATGGTATAGCAGAGAAACATACCTTGACAAAGTAGGAGTGCTGGCGACTGGCGACGACGAGGGTGACACGTCAGACGTGGGTTCAGAGTCCGCTGCAAGCGTTACATCGTCATCGGAATCTTCAGCAGAAGCGGCTTGCAGCCCTGCTGTTTCAGACACTAGCTGGTCTAGGTGAGCGTAGTCACTCAGTTCACTGTACGGGGAAGTCTCGTATCCTGAATCCTTAGTTAATTTACGAATAGAACGTCGCTCCTTGCCGTCCCGCTCACCGAGCCTGTCGGAATTCCTATCCATTGGCCCGGTTGAAATATAATCGGGCAGTGCAGTGGAGTCGCCACGAGTTTGATGTGGTGCATTGCAAGGCAAAGTTGTGGAACGCAAGTCAGGAGCCGCCGTGGAGTTAGTGTTGGGATCTTCCTGGGTCGAATACCGTCGCTTGCTGTCAGCTTTGTCGCAAAAACTGTGGCTTCTTTCCTTATTCGAGGCTGAAGTCGAAGAGAGTTCTCTTTCAGAAGCCCACGCGTTCTTCTTTTTCAATCCTTTGCCTTCGGAATGGTAGTTAGGGTTCGATCGATTTAAAGATGTCGTCGATGAATCATTGCGAGGAGCTCGACTCAGATTCCTGAGTAGCTTAGCAGCGGACGTGAAACGGCCGCTGTCACGTCGCTCGGGCCGTTTTTCCCGTTTTTTGGACCCGTTTTTCTGTTTACAGCGGTCACTGGATCGGCTCGTGAGTGTACTTGTGCTGCTGCTGACACTGCTGGCATCATCGTCGCCGGTCGCGTCCTTGCTACTGTCAGAAAAAATTGGATTTCAGTTCATGGGGAAACTTATGGTAAACAAGATGCATCTAAAAGGAAAATTTGTAATACTAAAATAAATTAAAAGAGAATTTTCAATCATATAGTGTTGCACACAATGAAATATTCTTCGTTGCAAATTCAGTAAATTATATCATATAGCAAAAATTATACATTGGTAGTCGAGAATTTAGAGAAAATTAAGAATATCATGTTACTGCTCAATTCATTTCGCTTTAGAAATGATCGAGATTTGAATGGAAATAACATTCAAAATTATATTTCTTATTGTTGACAAACAAAATTTGTCAGTGAATTAATAAGTTTCGTGATACTCTTATGCGATTACCACGCACACAACCAAGTATCATAAGTGTAAGAAACTTGGTCTTCGCTGTAGCATTTTATACGTATAGCGCTAAGTTAATGATGTCCCATCATAACCCTACTGCCTTCCATACGAGCATCCGACGACTCATCGCTGCTCAATAGTTGAATAAAAAAATTAACATCGTCATGAACGGCGTATCGCAACCGCTTTGCAAAACGAAAGTTTCATCGGCTAACCCGAAGCGATGGAACTGTATTTTTCCAAGTGGCTGGTCAGCTTGCGAAGTCGGTAAATGAGCTACGAAAACTGTAGATTACTTATAATACCAAATATTGAGTTCAACTACAAGGGTTCTCATCTATGATTTTCGTTATCTTCACGCAGTTCAATGACGACGAGTAGTTAAATGAAAAAAATGCAATGAAAAGTTGAAAAAGAGTGACATTAAAAATTAGGAAGCGGGAGGCAAGTGGATGACAAAAATAACATGATAAAACAGACTAGAGCAATCAGTGTATGACAGACAAAGTTTCCACGCAGCATAGCAAAAATATGTCTTTTGAGAAAGCAATTTGATGAAAATCAATAATGTAGGGACAAGATTCGACTGATCCCGTAATTCAGCTCCCATTAATTCAAGCCAGTGAGAGCACAAATTAAAAAACGAGTTTAAGAACTGTAAACCTTGCAATGTCTGCCAAGAAGGGTCAGTCAAAGAAGAATTATAATGAGGAAGAATTATAAATAATTTCTGCAGACAAAAATCATTGCGTGTCATAAAGGACACGCAAGGAACGAATAAAAACCCGAACGACAAACTATAGCCTTGATATAGTCGAGTTTAAATTCTGCAATGGTTTCTACACCGAATTCCCTGAATGCATAAGAAGTTGCGAGGCTATACGGTATAAGATTCAAAATGTAACTAATTTCTAAGTCGTGGAATCATCGCATGAGGTGTCTACACATGAAACAAATCATTTGAAACAAATCATACGATTCAATAAACTAGTTTGCTCGTGGCTGCACTGGAAGGCCATCAAGTTGTAAGCTTCGTCATTTGAAGACGAATGGCGAAGAAGCTTCGCCATTTGAAATTTCTAACCAGCATTGCGCATGTTAGTGAAACAAGCTGCGATGAAAAATCGAATCAAAGAAGAAAAACATTGAGTAACATTTTCCCTTTTTCCATAAAGACGAAGACAGTGCAGACTGCTCCGCACTGTCTCGGTGTGCAATATTCACTAAGATAAATCATTCCAGCTTTCTGGGCGCCTTCGCTTCACCCATAATTTCTAGGCAAGCAATGGCCCAGTAAATTACTTAGCTCAAAATCCCATGCAAGAGCCCTGCTGGGATAACTACCAATATCAGAATATAACGAGACGATAAAGCTTTATTCAAGGCCGAAGTTAATTTCACTGCAACGCGCCGCATGTCGTTAGACTTGCTAACTCGCTGCAGCTTGGCAATATATGGTTCAGCCATATGATGATGAGCTTTGTGATCGAGATGCAGTATATGGCTGTGCTGCGCTCAATCCTTAAACAGAGTCAAAAGAAGAAGCTTACAACTATCACGGAATACTTAAAAAAAAAGTCGAAATGGTAATTTAATGTCAAAACGGCAATGTCGCCATAAAATTATTTATTCAAATAACATAATTTTGAATAACATATATTTGAAAACATTTTCCACAGCCTGATAATGCTGCATGATACTAATAAGAAACATGTCATAGTCTAATAGTCTATTATTAAGGAAAAATTCATGTTCATTTATTTGGTATAAAATTGGTAAGCTGCAACGACATCCACACGATTTTCCGCATTTGCTGTATAATTTTTGTCGACTGTTCTATTTATCGCTGGAATTTTCCAACAAGATCTACTATCTTTACAAACTAGTGTGGGAATATTGAAAAGTTTAATTAACTTAAATTGAATTAACTCTGTGACCGTTAACCTGGAGAGATAAGGTTGAATGTGGCCGAAATGTCGAATTTAGACACGGGTGATACCTCAATCGCCAGTTAGATAGCGAATTAGAGATAAGCTTCTCAATGTTGTACGATAGTTAACATCGTAACTCAGGCATGATTTACATCGTAACGCAAGTCTACGCAAGTTTCAGATGTCGGCGCTAATAATGAACTTCAAATACAAGTCCTAATAACGAAGGACATTTGCTTGATCGTTCTGCATCACCGGTGAAAGGGACTAACAGTCACTATTTAATAATGAATCGCATTAAACACACAAATATTCCACCATCGCAAAAGACAGAAACATATGGTTACTGTTGCTTTCGAAAATATAAATGTTAAATCTACTGCGCTTCTTCTAAATCGTAGCTAATGAATTAATTTATACCAATATATAATTACCAAATGTAATTATGTTCTCACAATCATGCATTGCATTAGCCATAAGCAAAACTTGCCGATCAAGATTTACATTAAAAAATTTTCTTGGCCCAGCACAAGTAAATTTCAGATGGTAAAAGAGGGAGATAACAGTCCCAAGATTGACATTAAGTGGGTTTAAATTTTCCGTTGATTAGGAATTTTCTAATGTGGATGCATTAATGTTACCAATTTATGAATTTATTTCAGCAAAATTGAACGGCCAGCAACCATTCATAAAAAAATTTAAACAAGTCATTTTGTTTCGCAAGCTGAATTCGCACAATAAAATTCAGAGAGTATTTCATGAGTCAGCAATATTTTATCGAATAAAAAATCATTTTTCAATCGGGAATTCTGTCACACTGTAGCAAATTACTAACCATGAGGCGACACGTACTAAAAAAGGCACTTTGTTGTAAGGTTGTCAACGAAATGATTCACTTGCGCTTTTTACAGATTTAAGTGCAATAACAGAAGACAAACCGTGGGCGACTGTAAAAAAGATTGCGCCCATGCAGTGCATAACTGCCAATCAGAGCCGACCATAATAATGTTGCCAAGGTCTCGTCAAATCGCACAGAGCGATATTCTGGCGAATGTTAGAACGGAGCACAAGGAGATCTTTAAAGTCTTCAATTTATAACACTTATGGATTACAACAGATAAATCCACTCAAAAATATCTAATCGAATGCGACGAAGAATTTCTGGAAAGCTGAACATTTACTGGTATATAGGCTGGCAAACACAATTAAAAAACGTCTAATTTGTTGCAAAGAATGATTTCTATCACATCGATTATGTTGTTTATTTGCCACCTGAGTACATGTGATTTTTAATATTGAATTAGAAATTTCTTCCGTATTCACGCTTGGTTACCGAAAGTTTCAAACTGTTAACCGCAATGGTTTTCAATTCAAATCATAACTCAGAAAACATAGTTCATAATAATTGAAAAAACAGGTATGCGTTGTCAAAGGACACGGACTGGTACGAAATGACACAGGTCTCGACTCGAGACACAGGTCTCAACTTGAGACACAGGTCTCGACTTGAGACACAGGTCTCGACTTGAGACACAGGTCTCGACTTGAGACACAGGTCTCGACTTGAGGCACAGGTCTCGACTTGAGACACTGGTCTCGACTTGAGACACTGGTCTCGCCTTGAGACACAGATTCCGTCTTGAGACACAGATTTCGTTTTGAGACACAGGTCTCGACTAGAGACACTGGTCTCGCCTTGAGACAAAGGTCTCGCCTTGAGACACAGGTTACGACTTGAGACACAGATTACGACTTGTGACACAGGTCTCGACTTGAGGCACAGGTCTCGACTTGAGACACTGGTCTCGACTTGAGACACTGGTCTCGCCTTGAGACACAGGTTACGTCTTGAGACACAGATTTCGTTTTGAGACACAGGTCTCGACTAGACACTGGTCTCGCCTTGAGACAAAGGTCTCGCCTTGAGACACAGGTTACGACTTGAGACACAGGTTACGACTTGAGACACTGGTTACGACTTGAGACACAGGTTACGACTTGAGACACAGGTCTCGACTTGAGACACTGATCTCACCTTGAGACACTGGCCTCGACTTGAGACACAAGTCTCGGCTTGAGACACAAGTCTCGGCTTGAGACACAGGTTACGACTTGAGACACAGGTCTCGACTTGAGACACTGATCTCACCTTGAGACACAGGTCTCGGCTTGAGACACAAGTCTCGACTTGAGACACAGGTTACGACTTGAGACACAGGTTACGACTTGAGACACAGGTTACGACTTGAGACACAGGTTACGACTTGAGACACAGGTTACGACTTGAGACACTGGTTTCGACTTGAGACACAGCTAGGTCTCGACTTGAGACGCAGCAAGGTCTCGACTTGAGACACAGTATAAAGTCTCGACTTGAGACGCAGCTAGGTCTCGACTTGAGACACAGTATAAGGTCTCGACTTGAGACGCAGCTAGGTCTCGACTTGAGACGCAGCTAGGTCTCGACTTGAGACGAAGCTAGGTCTCGACTTGATACGAAGCTAGGTCTCGACTTGAGACACAGCTAGGTCTCGACTTGAGACACAGCTAGGTCTCGACTTGAGACACAGCTAGGTCTCGACTTGAGACAGGTATCTCACGTTTTTTTCGATATCGTCTTTATGCTTGCTGCTAATAAATCCGAGATAGTGAGCTTTCAGTCTGGAGCACATAGTGAATGGGCAACTAAAAATTGGACCTGTTTGCTCCA